CCAAATCAAACATATCTTTCATCATTTTCAAAGAAATTGTACAAAATCTTCAAATCTGTGATGTTAGCGAGTTTCACTTCATACGATGTTACCAGACACGCCCAAATCATCAGTTGCTGCCGTGATATTCATCCCGACCACTGCATCCCCACGGCTAGGCGGCCTGTATGTTAAATTTGTATTGATAGGGCAGCGGGTTATGGTATAAATCATATGTCACAGTGTTTGTGCATTGATTGCAACGGTCAGATGATACCAAAAATATTTTCATAAGTAGGAGATCTTTCCCATTCCGGAGCGAACAATCTACCAAAGATTCTTATAATCATGATACCTAGTAAATTTTCACGAAGAAAATTCAAAACTAGCAAATGTAAAAGATTCATTTGGCACCCTCCACCACGGGACGTGATCGTCGTTAGACTTGGCAACCCTGCTAATGCCAGATAGATATCCCCGCCAGTCAAAAAAGAAAAATAGACAAATAATAAACATTACTAGTTTTTTTGATTTTTGGACTTAAAAGCCATTATTTGTGAAACATTTTTCATGTCCATAGTAATTGCATTATGCATCAGGGAGATGTAGGGATCGACACGTCTTACACATATTTGTGTTTTAGGATGGAGAGGACATAATGTTTTTATTGCTTTGAAGAAATTCATTAACCCCTAAATTAATAAATGATTACTATTATGACGTAAAGGAAGATGAGGAATTGGATGGAATGTATTTTATATTCTATTTTCTTGCAAAATACAGACTAATCCACACTATTCAACAGGTATGTAATGATAACTCTCAGTATATTGAAGTTGGTAAATTCGAGAATGCCATGCATTAACAAACATCCAAGTCTGCTGCCAAATTTAACAGCTAGAAAATCGACCTATTATTTGCCGCATTCCCATTCGCTGAGGGGGATAACGGACTGTTAAATGTAAACCTATAACATACGAGGCTTGTCCGTAAAATAAGTTCCACGGGCTGCCGCTGGCGCTAGGATCGTTTCTATGCACAGCCAGGCAACAGAGGCAGATTGTTTGGTTCCCCCACTCCAATCCCTCACCAAGCCAGCGTCGCTGCGACGTTTAGTCTTGGCTCAGCAGCCGTCAGCGATGGAGCTTCCTCTTGCGTCTCCCGCCAGCAGCGAGTTGCGGTCTGTTATTCGTTTCCTGGCCGCTAAGAAGAAATCGGCGAAGGAAATTCACGAAGAACTTTGTCAAGTGTATGGAGAAGACTGTATGAGCTGCGGCATGGTGCGCAGATGGGTCAGGGACTTTAAAAATGGCCGAACAGACGTCCACGACGAAGCCCGTGCAGGGCGGCCATCGGTTTCCGACGAAACAATTGCCAAAGTCGAAGCGGCAATGCTTGAAGATCGACGGATTACAGTTCGGGAGCTGTGCACAAAGATTCCGGAGGTCAGCAAAACCACAATTGACAAGATTTTGACTGAATATTTAGGCTATTCAAAGGTCTGCGCAAGATGGGTACCAAGAATGCTCACTGCAGACCACCGGCGGCAGCGGTTTGAAGCGGCCCAAGAATTTCTCGCTTTTCACGGAACAACTGAAGAGGAATTTCTGGACTCTATTGTTACTGGTGACGAGACCTGGGTACACTACACCACACCGGAAACAAAGGAGCAATCGAAGCAGTGGAAGCACTCTTCTTCACCAAGAGCAAAGAAGTTCAAACAAATCCTGTCTGCCGGGCAAATCATGGCTAGCGTTTTTTGGGATCGAAAGGGCGTATTGTTGTGCGAGTTTATGCCTCGCGGGACAACAATCAATGCTGACCGATACTGTGAGACCTTGAAAAAACTTAGACGTGCCATTCAGAACAAGATAAGAGGAATGCTGACGAAAGGAGTGCGTTTTCACCATGACAATGCCCGACCGCACACCGCCAATCGAACCACAGCCCTCATCGAAAGATTTGGATGGAAAATGGTGTCTCACCCACCCTACAGCCCAGACTTAGCACCAAGTGACTTCCATCTCTTCCCTGAGTTGAAGAAAAACCTTGGCGGAACCCAATTCCAGACAGATGAAGAGGTGCAAAACGCGGTTGTTAGTTTTCTACACGGACAGGCGGCAGAGTTCTATGACTCTGGTTTGAAGAAGTGGGTGCCTCGAATGCAGAGATGCATAGAATGCAACGGCGATTATGTAGAAAAATAAAAGAAAGACTGAACTTTCCAAAAATGTATTTTCTTTGCAATTAAACCAATTTTTTGATATGAAAAAAATTTGTGGAACTTATTTTACGGACACGCCTCGTATATCAAAATACATGGAAGTTGTCCTGTTTTTTCTGTACAAAAGCATCATGTTGGAATCAAAAAGTGGTCTTGTTTATAATACAGTCGAATTTTCACGATTTTATTCAATATTTCAATAGAAATCACTAATATTCAGAGACCTTTGACAGCTTCTGTCAAATTGCATTTCGATAAGGTATTTTCCGATTGGTCCATAATATTAATGTTGGTGAAATCGGCCCTAAATCTCTTTTTCTACTCACCCGGTTTTCTATCGATTCGAAAATACTGTATTCATGAAAGGACTCGGTAGAAAGGAGAAAAGAAATCAAGACACGGGTTTGCCAGGTTTGAGTAAATGTGTTAAGCCAATCAAAATGGAGATAATTTTGACAGTCAAAAACTAACCAAAGATTTTGGTCAAGATTTCCTCCTTATAATTTTATCTATGGAGCCGTAAAGTTAGATAAAACACATTACAAATGAACAAAAGGACAAAAGGATTGAATTTTTCCGAGAGCACCTCCAAATGCACCAGGGAAAATTCAATCATGGATTAAAGGATACTGTTTTAGAATGACTAAGACTTCTACTTCTACTCCCTGAAACTCAAGAATAGAGGTCCAGATGTTTCTAAGATACCACTAAGAGCCATCAAAGACACACTAAATTCTATTTGGTACAATAATTTCTTCGTGACGAGTTTCACTTTCGTTGAGAGGCATTATCAGAAGCAGTGAATCATACCACAAGCGCTAACCAAACATATCCCACTTCCTGCCAAGATGATGGACGCGTTGCGTGATTGACACCGAAGCATTAGCAGTTACTGGACCATAATTTCCCAAGAAAGTGCACCATACAAACAAGTGATAAAAATAAACAACTTTATTATTCAATATACACAATCAACGTAACCATTGCCGCAATGAGAATTGATATCTCTATGTTCGCATTCACTGAAATCACTGAAAGAATTGTTGCTCGACGGGGGAGAGTAGTGCAACACAGCGTATCTTCGCCTGAGGATATTCAACATGTCTGAAACTTCGGGAGTTCTCGGAGTTCTCTGGAAATCTTTTGATGGTCTTAGTTGCACTGACGCAAGCTCACTTGCTGCAAAGGGGATACAATATACAAGGTGTTAATTAAGTATGTACCATAAATTTAACAGACGATTCTTTGAATAATTTTAAAACAAAAAGTTCATATGAACATACCTGTAAGTCTGCAAATGTTTCGTTCTCAAGATACAGGTTGTTAAAGTTTAAAATAAATGTTTTTCCGTAAATATCTTAAATATCCATTACATTTTAGAACATTAATTCCCTAGCTTGAATAAATTCATTAAGTACAGTAGCGTCTCGAAAAAACTTTTGTGCAATTTTTATTAAGTTCTTTAAGCAAATAGATACAACTTTTTTGTCTCTTAATTTCTTTCGTATTTTGCTCAGTTTTCGGAAGAAAAAGAGTCCACTTTATTGCATATCTCGGGAACACAAGTTTCTTTTGGTAATTGTTTTTTTATAATTTTTTATTACTAATTATGTTAATGTTAATTAGTACTTGTCGTTATTGTTAATGTTATAAATACCACCGCCAAATTACAGCAAAATTAAGTACAGGATATTTAAGATTTTTTTTTAAATTTTAACACCCTGTATCTGGAGAACGAAGAATTGGCGGACCAATGTTGATATAAACTTTTTCTCTTAAAATTACTCAAAGAAACTTCTGTTAAACTTATGGATCATACTATGCACCTTGTAATTACGGCCTATCATTGATTTACACCCTGTATATACCGTATCTTACATAACAAAGCTACATTAAGGGATGGATAAAAAGTTGTTGGCCAAACCTGGTTGATCCCCCTCAAAACGAAATACCCCATTATTTAAGATGGCATCCAACGGTCTTGAATGAATGAATCTTGAATTTTAGAGGCATCCCGGCCACCATAAGGAGCCAGTGCATAGGCCGCTTAAGCGGGCCCTTATGCACCTCTACAATACTTAAATCACAAGCCTCGCCCTTTTAGCGAAGTTGAGAATCGCCTTGAGTCCAAGCTCCTTTACGTCCTGAGGGTCCAAAGTAATGGACCCCAGTATAGTCTGCCTATAGTAGCTCAGAGCTTCACAGCGACACAAAACGTGCGCCGAGGTCTCTTCCTCTACTCCGCAGCGTTCGCATAAGGGATCCTCAGCCACCCCCATCACGTGCAGGTGCCGCCTTAACGTGTTATGGCCAGACAACAGTCCCACCAGCAACCTTAGGTTGGCTCTACCCAGAGATAGGCAGAAGCGTCCATCCTTAGCACTGGGCCCTTCAATGAGCTCTCGTGCCTGGCGGAGATGTCTAGAGATACTTCTCCATTTCTGAGAGTGTTGTCTTGCAACCCACGTCTCCATTTTCCTCCTAGCTTTATGCGCGGTTACTCCTAGAGCTGGCTCAGGACCAACGAGCTTGCTGGCTGATCCTGTTTTCGCCAGAGTGTCCGCCGTCTCATTGCCCCTTATCCCAGCGTGCCCCGGTACCCATATTAACGATACCGGATGCCTCGCTGCGAGGCAATCCAGAGCCTCCCTGCATTGCAATCCAACGGTCTTAAGAATTATTTGCGTTACGAAGCAACCCTTTCCGTGGAATCTACCTTTTGCTTTTATAGAAATAACATGTTTTGCACAGTACAAAATTTTTATGGGATGCGAATTGTGCCTTTACAGTTTCCATATGACTTACAGGGGATACAAAACGACAGTAGTGGTTTGATCCATAAACGTTTCCTTGGTTCTTTTTTATTCCAATGACGTGAACATATTTATTATTCTCAATTTCTATTTTTGAGATTATCAACATTATTGTTTTAAACATGAACCTTGCATTTAAAAGCCATACTATTGATTCCATTTTTGTTATGAAACAGCACCAAATAAGGGTTGTTTATCAAAACGTTGCTGTAAGAACATTCACATGCACAAAGCCGGAATTTTCGGGCGGCTCCAAGTAAAATACCAACATACTGATAATTAAATCCAAATACACCTGTAATTCTTCGTAATGGTGGAGTGCAAGGCGTTCCAGGAACAAAACTATGTTTCACTATAAAATTTTTCTCAAAAACTTCGGTATACCCATCAGTACTTTCAACAAAGTTTTGCTCTGGAAATTCAATGTCGGATGCATATTTGTAAAATTCCGGATCCTCTTTAACACATTCATCGGCATTGTCGTTGCTATAATCGATATTACTGTGATAGTAAGCTTTTTGTAAAACGCAACATTTGCATTTTCCTGTTACTGTAGATGATTCATCGTCGTCTTCATCTGAAAATAGTACAATGTTTAGCATCAAATTTTTTGAGATAAGGAGTACTGTGCTACCTATTGTTACTATGCTACAATTGATGCTAAAGCTGAGCTTTGAGACGGCTATCAGATTGTATCATAGTTAAGTGAAGTCGGATACATCCCACCCAATATGAAATAATATGGAAATCTCTGTATCAAAAGAATGAAGCATGGAAGGAGTATTAAAGTAACAAATACTGTAATATGTTGGAACACCTTACCTGAAGCGAAACATTAAACTTCTTCAAAAAAGCCCTTAGGAAAGTTTAATATGAAACAATATGTTTCAGGAATTATATAACGGTCCAAAATACTCAAGATGCATTTTTGTAAGCTCTATGTAAATTTACATATTTTCTCTAGATAAGTACAGAATATTCTAAAATTAACCACCTGAGTATTAATCAGTTAAGATGGAGATAAACATAGATGAGGTTTTGCACACTTAGAAGATAAAAATTATTCCTACCAGTATTGCTTATATTCATAACTGTTTATATACATAAATGCTAAAACAAACTTGATGATAGAATAAGACATTCTAGAATAAGTGACACAAATAATATTTAATGAAGCATGTGTGTTTGAGAAGCTTACTTCTATCATCTACATTTGCTTATGTCAGGTAAGAAAGCAAAAGGGAAGCTTCAAATGTAAATTGGGACACTATTAAAGTTTGATAAAACATACTCGGATAAATAATACAAAAAAAACACTGAGCTCAGATAATTGAGAGGCTCTAATGGCCTTGAAATTCTGTATCTCCAACATGGCGTGGAACTATCACTCACTCACTCAGGAGCCTCTCATACATCAAAAAGCCAGTTTAAGCGATATTTTTCGTCTTTTGCTTATAGCTCCTTCGCCACTGAACTGATTTTGAGAAAATACAAAGCTCTTTCATCTTTGGCATCGCAGTAACCTTGCGTGAAAGGCTTATCAAAATGTACATGTCCAACATCCACAAAAAAATTTTTATTTTCAGATTTTTTACGATTATAATACTTTCCCGCCAGTACGCGTGGGAAATAAAATTTTTGCAAGTGGTTGGTTTCGATAAAGTATCAGAAGGCCGATTTTTTTTGACATTATGCTGGTCTTTTTTGACATTATGTAGGTTATTCTACAAGATGTTAATTCAGCACTTAGTTATACGTGTTGCCTAAACGTCATGAGGCTTGTTATCAATCTTTGGCTCTGATGTGTGTGATGTAAAATCTGCTTCTGAGGTGGCATTACTGGAGGTCTAAGCTGTAAGTTGTATGTGTTGATGATAATTACATTGGGTTCTTGTCTCAAATATACGCATCCACTTTTTCTTATCCATTCTGAAAATTACATACACAAATTTGCTGAATTTCAAAAATGAGAGGGATAAGAAATAATTATATTCACTGTACACTGTCGAATTACAAGCCGTATATTGTACATGCTAACAGTAATTACACACAACGCGGGCGCGGTGATGATTTCCCGTATCTCTCATCAGTTTTTCGTAATTTATAACTTTGAATATAACCTCTATCTAGAGAGCACAACATATAAATAACCCGTCATATTGGGCATATTCAGTAATAATTTTCTCACACAGCAAATATCACTGATTTTATACACATGCAGACCAATGCACATAATCATCCAGATGCGATCTTGCTATTCAACCAACCTTCTTCTCAGAGATAAGAACTACAGACCCGGATCACCCAGCCCCACAAAACTATGCAACCAATAATGCGTAGTTTAGTTGAGTGATTCCTCCATAGATGGACGTTCACAACGATCCTAGTGAGCAAACGTGGAATGACTGTTTGCGCCCTAAAAACTACCTAGTCTGCAAGTTGACATCTTATATGTTCTTTTATGTTTTATAGGTGAGCATGAAGTGAACAACAGCTAGTTCCAAGTTGTCTTCAGGAAAACCTAAATAATGTTGAAATAACCGATAATGTCACTTTTCAAGTTACGTAATGCCCCTGCCGTACTGGCTTTAGCATGAAAACAGAACAGTTGGGATTTTCATGTTGTACCCGCTAAAAAAGTCAAGTAGACTGATTCAGTAGTCCACTCAATGGTTTTACCCTGTCTGAAATCCCTGGCACACGACATGTGTAAGTCATTGCAGTAAGAGGAAAAAGTTGAAAAATGCTTGGTTTTACGTTTCTGGGCACTTAAAGCGACCTGAAGTAACCACAATGATCAGAAATGTGGGAAAAAAGGAATTTACGAAGATCGGAGATATACTAGGATTGTTCATTTTTGGCGCACAACTTCGCAACCGCTGGACACATTTTCAGCCTACAAAGTACTACGCATGTCATCGTAATAATACTCATGCTTTAACAAAATACGAACAATACACGTTTCGAGTTATAGAAGGATATAAAGAGAATGAACTAAAATACTACATACAACGGCATACTACGTGCTGATTTGTACATATTATCCAGGTTTAAGAAAATTGCTGGATTTAGAATGTTCCACGATTACAATATTTTCTGACCAACTAACGTGAGAAGCAACCTTAGGGTATTGCATTATGACTTTTTTACGAGTTTTCGATTAAGGGACAACTGAAGATGTCTTTGTGGAAACGTTCCAAAAAATGAGAAAAATCAAAGACTATACTTTAGCCCATATCGCAAATATTTCATTTCTTATTTTAAAATGGAAGACTGGGATGTAAATTTTACGAAAATATCATTTTTTTCTTTAAAGAACCCTCTGCTTGCTATTTTATGGAACTTCAAAGTTGCATTTTGGGTGGTAATACTCTAGAATAGAATAAATACTGTTCCATATGCTGGTTTTCTCGCTTTTTGCACATAAGGATGCTCCGAATTATAAGAAAATAACATACATTGTATAGTACTGAGGAAAATAGATGTGAAACTGTAAAGAATCGTTGTTTTTTCAAAGAAAAAGGTTAAAAATTAGCCGTATAATAAGCTGACATGACAAATACATACCTTTAAGGCACTTTAGCCCTTTAGCGCATAAACGCCGGAATTCTTGTTTTTTCGGAAGAAATCGAAGAAATCAGCAGATATATTTTTTTAAGGAAAATAGATATGAAACTGTAAAAAATCGTTGTCTTTTGCAAAAAACTTTCAAAACTAGTCGAGTAATAAGCTAAAATGACAGTTCAAAATGCATACCGTAAATGATGGTATTTACTTGGTAAACCATGTAGAGGTGTTGTATTGAGACTTTTCAATGTATTCTTGAAATTCCTTAAACATCTTGTTTCGGAAATTTTCAATGAGATTAAAGTTTTTGCGTTTATATGAAATATTTGAAAGTACAAATAATTCTCAATGACCATTTTATAACGTTCATTTCTTGACAGATAAGATAAATGATGTCCATTGTTGCCAAGTTGTACTTTTTTAGGAGAAAAAAATGCGTAAAAGTCTTAATTTATTGCAAATGGCTTATTTCATAAGAAGTTATCCCAATACTTACTGAAAATTAGATCAAATTTTAAATAGCACGTGTCTAAACAGTAGAAAATGCAGCAGCGGCTCGCGTGACATAAAAGATACAAAAAGCACCAGAGGTCATTGCATATAAAAATACCCAACTTCGATTCTTCGATATGGACCTTGTCGCCAGGTCCACCCAATATATCATCGTCCAACATTATAGTTAAATAAAGATCAACGACCATTTTATCACATCATCAAAAAACTTGCATGTTCTTCTCTGTTATGTTTTCATTATTTAGTGACTGGCAAGAGCTACTTTCTCAGTAATTTAACATATATATCACATTTAATTAGGTATATTTTGTGACATCAACTTCACTTTAAATAATGTACATGCATACAAAGCTTAAATAGATTATAACTATAATATAGGAAAAACAATAACGGAAGTATTTTTGTGAAAGGCATACGGCATTCTTCAAAAAAGTGTATTTTGCTAGGACTCGAGGAAGATTTAGTACAGTGAAACTTGCTGGCCATACCTCCAAATTGCATTTTCATGACAATCATGACAATCCTGTGCCGAATGCACATTTTTGCGCTAGTATATAAGAATTTGACAAACCAAATCATAGTATATTACAATTCATGATTTGGCAACTACGCAACTAGATGCAGAAGTTATGATAGTGATCGTGGTATAGAGATGGGAATGTTTATCTGAAATAAAAGAAATGACTACTTAACAATGTTCTATTTTCATCATTAAAATAATGCAAAATTGTTATTGTTGCGTTGAAAAGTGTCACCTGTATATAATTTATATTCATATAACGTTGAGAACTCCTTTGTGTAAACAAGAAAAAAAGAGCTTTTACAGTAGTATTCTATACTACAGTATTACCAAAATGCAACTTTGAAGTTCTATAAGATAGCAAGCAGAGGGTTCCTTAAAGTAAAAATGCTATTTTCGTACATGTTACATGTTAGTCTTTCGTTTTAAAATAAGTAATGAAATATTTGCGATGTGCGCTAAAGTATAGTTCAGCCTCATAATGTTTCACGATTACAGTATTTTCTGGCCAACTAATGTGAGAAGCAAGACTAAGGGTCTTGTGGGGTTAGCTTACTTAATACATTTTCAATTTTAATTTTGGATTTAGGGACAATTTATTATGTTTTTGAGGAAACGTCACAGAACTGAGCACATGCAAAAAATGAGTACCCTAAAAATAATAATCAATAATGATTAAAATGAATCCGTGGCCGCACTGCGCACCTTCTAATACAACGTTAGAAGTTTTACCTGAAGAGCTGCTATTATAAACATCTGGAGGGTACTTCATCGACCTTCTCTGTAAGTTGTCTTGTATAATCACACCACTTACAACTACTCTGTACCGAGGAAAAAGCTGAGACGGTAACCTTAACAGCAATTTGGATATGAACTTCCTGGACGTTATCCTTATGATGCAGTTGCCGATGATCAGGAATATGGCTCTTACCGAATGTGTTAAAGACATGACAGCTAGTTGCATTTTAACTGATTTGAGCGCCGCAATTGTGACAATACTAGGTGACAAGTAGACTTTTCGTATACAGGGTGAAGGCCCTTAATATCTTACATTCAAAAAATATTATATACAGGGTTATTGGTAATTCGCCCTATGTCTTCTAGAGCGTGATAAGTGGCCTAACATGCAAACAATTCCCCTCTATTTATGGAAAATCAGTACAGAGATATTTCATTTTTTGTAAATTTCCAACCCTAACCCGAAATTGGACATTTTGGTGTGAATAATGAAAACACTAGATGAGACATAGGTGGGATTGTGATTGATTTTAGTCGTTTGTACTCAAGTTATGTGAATGTAATAATTAAAAGTACGAAAATGCTATACAAAATAAATTAACATTTATTCCAAAAAACAGCATAGTTTTATGGTTTGTAGTTTTCGTTAAAACAAAGTTACGCCTAGATCGAAAAATTGCAAATTAACGGTGTGTACAGTATATTCAGATAAGAGATAGACCGGATGTAAACAAAAGATTCGGGTGATTTTCACGCTAACGCCGCCGTCTCGACGTAAAACAGGAGCCCTCATTGGTCAATTCGCAATTAAATGCCTATGCCGAGCGGCAGAGCAGTCGTATCAAGGCAGAGTCACATTCAGGTTCAGACGTGTTACGTATGTCGTGTGCATCATTGCAATTTGATATTTCTTTGGACGTTTTCGTTTGTTATCTAATTAAGTTGTTGAGTTTGTCGTTGTTATTGTTATACCTTGTTATTGATTGTTATTGTTATCAACTGCTTGCGCAAAATGCCCAGTAGTACAGATACTGCCGATGAAGTTGTAAACTCCTGTAGTCCACCTAGGAAACGCTCTAAAAAAAGACACCTGAGTGCAGAAATGAAAGAGGTCATTTTGAATATATATAAGATCGAGCGCGAGGAGAACGAGGCATCAAAAATCAAAGAAATTGTTGTGAAGGTTTCTCACAAAGTTGGGGTGTGTCGCGCATCAGTGTTTAATGTGTTAAGACAATACAAAAAAAATCACACCTTTTCTGAGCCAATGACCAGTAAACATCGCAAAAGTATTGTTAAATCATTGGATGAAGCTGATAAGCATGCGATTAGGAGGGAAGTGCATGAATTCTTCTATAGGAATGAAATACCTACTATAGATAAAGTACTGCAGGAGGTAAATGGAGATACAACGTTGCCAAATTTCAAACGATCAACTTTCCATGCGTTACTGAAGCATTTAAATTTCAAATGGAAAAAACGGGGTCGTAATAGTTTACTACTGGATAGAGAAGAAATTGTGCTATGGAGGAGGGATTATTTAACAAAAATTGGGAAATATAGAAATCAAAACAGGAAGATTTATTACCTTGATGAAACGTGGGTAAACGCAGGACACACTACAAGTAAAGTATGGGTTGATGATTCTGTAACTTCATCCAGGAGGGCCTTTCTAGATGGATTGTCCACCGGATTAAAAAATCCAGCAGGTAAATACGAGTAATAGACAACAATCGGATGTTTTTCAAACCTTGGGAACAAGGTTCTAAACATTAATTCCTGGGGGCAGATAAAACATATTACAAGAAACAAAACTTTTATAACTTTCGATAAAATGCGTGGATGTTTTATTGTCATTTTCATTTGTTAGAACTTTTTTAAGCCATGTTTTTATGTGTTTTCGATATATCAATAATTTTTTAATATAATCTTAAAATATGTCGAATATTATAAACTTAAAAAAGTTACTAAGTTTTATATTGTGTACCGTTCTTAATATTTCTAATCATTTTAATTCATACTTTAAGCTTTATAAAGTTATAATTTGTTAATATTAATATTTGCGCGTATTTCAGGTTCCTGATCATTCATTTTTTAAAGGTTTATAACTTGTGAAGCGCTGAGTAATCATACGACGTTCAATATTCTTTCTTTCAATATGACTAAATAATCCCAATTATAGCAATCTGATACTCATGTCTCAATGTTTTTTCGCTGAATGTGATGAAAACATTTGAAAAAGGTTCGCTTATTGAAATAAATCTACACCAGTTAGTACTTCGATTTCCAGGTAAAGGGAAAAGGCTCATTATCTGCCATATTGGCAGTGAGGATGGATTTGTTGTTGACGGTCTGTGGTGCTTTGAGTCTAAGAAAACTGGAGATTACCAGGAGGAAATGAATGGCGAATCGTTTGAACGGTGGTTTTCAAAAATTTTACCGAACTTAGAGGAAAACGCAGTAATTGTGTTGGATAATGCGCCTTATCATTCTCGAAGAATGGAGAAGGTCCCAACAACGGCTTCAAGGAAAGTTGATGTTCAAAATTGGCTCCGCTCGAAAAATATCAACTTTGAAGAAGCAATGATGAAAGTACAATTATTGTATGTATATGAATTGTCAAGGATCACAAGGCGGAATATCAAAAATACGCCATTGACGAAATGGCAGCAAGTCAAAATAAAACTGTGCTCCGTTTACCTCCATACCATTGCGAGCTCAATCCCATTGAGCTCATATTGGCAGAGGTGAAAAATTATATAGCTAAGTACAATACAACTTTTAAATTTTGTGACCTCAAAGGACTTTTCAAAGAAGCACTAGAATTAATAACAGCGCAAAAATGGGAAAACTGTATTAAGCACGTGAAAGACAAAGTTGAAAAGAGAATGTGGGAACTGGACAATATTTTAGAGGAACAAGTCGAGCCATTCATTATTGACGATGGTGCTTCAGGCAGTAGCGATGATGAAAGCTCATCAAGCTCATCTTTCCAATAAAAGATGTCGTTCATCAAATTCGGTAAGTTATAAGTAATTATAAAGCTACTGTATTTTTTAATTAATTATTGACATTTTTGAACCCATTTTGGCAAAACCTTTTCAAGAATCTACTTTCTGACAATGTTCAACCATGCACATTTTTTTACGTTTTGAACGTTTTAATTTGGTTACATATTTACCTAGAAATCAAAAAATATACTAATCAATATTCTAAAAGCAATTTTAAGAGATATACGATTATTTTTAATTTAGGCTAATTTAAACGCCATTTTGAGATTATATTCGACTGTATTTCACCAAACATCAGGCGGCATCCGAAGGTGGAAATCGAAGCGAAAATTTTGAAACCCTTATGTATATTTACATCATTATATATTTCTTACCCCACCCCCACATGATCCTATATCCATCACCAATCGTATACACATCGAATTGTGCTAATTTACTACAAAGTTACGCAAAGCAGCATCTACTATCTAAAATATGTACTGCGTGACTTTTAATACGTCCCTGCCGAATGTTACAGCGTTCGATGATCACGTGGTCTTGTTTATGTCCGATCTATCTCTTATCTGAATATACTGTAATGGTGTAGCAAGTAAAAATAAAAAAAAGTCTGGAAGCATTTCTCATGTCTTGTGTAAGTGAAAAATTTGATTGCGCGGTGGGGAGCTGCTTAACTTAAGTAGCGCTTCTAAGCTTCTGAAAGCGAGTGCTGATATTTGAAAAAAAATAAAGAGCGGAAGGGTGCTTCCAGCTCTCAGGACAATATACCAGCATCTAGTCTAGAACGGGCATTTCGGGGAAAACTGTGTAACCAATATAATAATGTATACCTGTATATATCTTGACAAAAAAAGAAGTCGACCGAGGTAATGCTTTTAACGACTTTTTTGCGAAGAGATTCTGTGCTTTCAAACTGAGGTATTTCTAGGTCTATGTTTGAGCTTCCTGTTTAAAAACTACCCAAGGAGTTACTCTTAAGTTTGGTCACATAGTTAAACAGCACCATGTGCAGTATACTATTTAACGTGCCAGTTTCATTCCTATACAGATCTCTCTTGTGCTACTTTTAACTTTTAGATAAACAAATTTCAGTACAGAGATAAGATAAAAGCTCATTATTCGATAAAAAATTTCGCATAATTGTTCGATCTAAAAAGACGTCGAGTTACAAATCTTTTTTTTTTATACTCCAACTACCACGAAGGCCTAAGGCCTAAGCACCCATTGGGTACCGTGGGGCTATAGGGGGATACAGGGGGGGACGCCACACGGACTCTGGCGAGGGAACACGTGTGCATGCAACATGCACACATTCTGGCTCCGCCTACGAGAACCGCCGGGTGGTACCTCCGCGTTCGACAGTCAGAGACCATCTACCACCTACGGACAATCACAACATCCATAGCTAAGAGAAAAATTTCTCCTGGGACGGGACTCGAACCCGCACAGCGCACGGCGACTGATCAGGAGACCGAAGAGTCTACTACTGCGGCCACCGCTGCTGCCTAAAGCAAACACCATCCATCCATGGCGAAGGCGAGATTCGAACTCGCAGCCCGGCCGGCCGGCTGATCAGTAGCACGACACTCTGACCCACGCGGCCAACCGAGGTCCCAAACGATTTTCTATGAAAAAGGAGTTGCAAAAACAATCCTCGATGGTCTTTACGTTATTTCGTCCCAAAGCTCTGACGCAGTAATCTGTATCGTGACGTAGTAAGTATGGCTATTACTGTGTATTTCTGCCTCTAGGATGTGTCTGTATGTTTGCCATGGAGGTTTTTGGCTTTATCTGAAGATCTATTTCCTTTATGACGAAGAAGTTTCAAATGAATATTGTCACGTTTTATCATATTGGTCGAATTCTGCAGAGGACAATACAGATTATTATCAGAATATACAAATTTCAGATACGTTTCTTAGTCATACAAGTAGAAAATAAGGTTAAACTGCGTTATCCATGAAAAAAGTACAAACTGTCCATTTCAGCTATCAAAACACAGCTTTGTCGAGGTGGAAACTACCTACCCCACTTAACAATAATTGTGGTTGCATAATGTCACAGCAAACTGTTATACTAGTATAAATGTGTTTGTATCAAAGGACATATGTATGTTCCTGCTTTGCATTTTTCGACAATTTAAATTATGTCCAAAAAGATACATTGTTGCAATCTGCATGGGTAGGAATATAAATTACAGCATTAAAATCATAGGCACAATAATTCAAGCCGCTGCTCATACTCCTAATCCGAATCACCGTGTC